ATATTCGAATTTACGAAGTATTCGAAGAAATTCGAATATTCGAATAGTAAACGAAGTCTTCGAAGTTGAAAAAAACTTCGAAGTTTTTGTGAATTTTTGTTCTCGAAGTCTTCGAAGTTTAAATGTAGTGAAAAACTTCGAAGACTTCGAAGACTTCGTAAGCAAAAGGTGAAGTGAGAGCGCACAATGCAAACAAACGTGCATCACACAAATTATTTGAGGGATGAAAGCATTTGCTTCGTTTAAACGGTTTTATGTTTTTTGTTGTTATTCTATGCAGAAAATTAAAAACATGTTTTTTTGTTTTATTTTATTACATAAAATTTATTTAATTATTAAATATGTATTATAATATATATTATTATTAAATATGTTATTATTAAATATTTTTTATATTAAATAAAAAATTCACATTTTAAATAACTTATATTTATTATCTATATTTAAAAAATTATATTTATGAAAATTTTTAATATAATATAAAATACATGAAAATTTGATGAAATTTCTTTTATACAATTGTGCTAATACACTAATTTACATTTTATTTAGATACTTCCTTATAATATTATGTATTTCTTTTCCTAGAATAAGAATTTAAAAATTTTACATAAACAGTAAAAAAACTGTAACTACAACAAAAAAATCAAAATTTTATAATGCAAAAATAAATTTGCGCTTACCTGCGTGATCATCACAGCTCATACAGGTCAAATAATTAGGCATTAATGAGCAAAACTCATTTTTCCATAACTAATTTTCAAGGTTTTAATTTGTGATTTTCTTTTTAAAGGAAAATGAAAATTTTTATAAAATTCCATTACTAATAAAATCCATCAATATCAATATTTTCATATTATTACGTATATATTTTATATTATAATAAAAATTTTCTCAAATATGATTTTTTAAATATAAACAATAAATATTGTTTGCATTTTGCGCTCTCACTTCACCTTTTGCTTACGAAGTCTTCGAAGTCTTCGAAGTTTTTCACTACACTTAAACTTCGAAGACTTCGAGAACAAAAATTCACAAAAACTTCGAAGTTTTTTCCAACTTCGAAGACTTCGTTGAAATGCGAATATTCGAATAATCGAAGAACTTCGAATTTTTAAAAACTTCGAATAATGTGAACAGCACTACTAAAAACCCTTACTATTCATGAAATAATTCAAAAAAGCTGTGCTAACCATTTATCTAAATTGCTGTAGCACACAAATTTGGAATTAAGAAGACTTTCTGCCTTCGGTAAAAATACGTCAAAAACGTACACTTGGAAATTGTATGTAATGTATTGAAATTCTATATGATGTACTGTAATGATTAACATATTATCTCAAATGATTACTTAAGGTGACTCAAACTTCCAAACTTCATTTGTTAAAAGTATTACTAGATATCTATGATATTTGTAATATTAATGAAATAGTAAAAAAAATCTATTTTTTCATAAAATTGATTTAAAAGAGGCTTATGTTACATGCAGTTTGAAAATGGTATTCCAGAGATTGGGAATTTTATTGACAATATCATCATATCACCATGAAATGAAGAAGAACTTTTTGAAAGATTAGAGAAAGTCTTGAAGCAATTACAATAGTGGAATTAAATGCAAACAATCTAAATGCGCATTCCTGCAAAGTCAGATTACATACTTTGGTCGTTAGTTAAGTGCTAAAGAAATATTACAAGATCAGAAAGGAGTCGCAACAGTAAAAGACTTGCCTAAGCCAAAAAATATAAAAGAACTTAAAGCCTTTACAAACAGGGTCAACTTTTATAACAATTTCATTCCAAATGGAATCGAATCAATTAATTGGGGACCGCAGGAAAAAAAGCATTTACAGCATACATTGTGACCGAAAAGTTTCCGGAATAAATTAAATAAAACGCAAAATTCTTAATCTTCATCAATATTTATTTTATCTCCTTCAAAATATGCTCCATTAGAAGCGATACAACAAATGCCAACGTTTCTTCCAATCATCAAAACATTTTTTATAGGCGCTTTCCGGTATGGCTTTGAGTTCCCTCTGCGAATTCTGTTTTACGTCTTCTATGGATTCAAAACGCGTTCCTCTGAGTGGTAATTTGAGGTTGGGAAACAGGAAAAAGTCACACGGTGCAAGATCAGGTGAATACGGTGGCTGTTCGATGGTATTTATTGAATGTTTGGCCTTAAAATCGTTGATAATGTTGAACAAATTGAGGTGAATCGGAACAAGCCGGGCGTTGACACGTCGCATACACAAATTGTCCACCAAAATCAAACGAGCCATCTCACGACCGATGCCTAGCTCTCGTGCTATCTCTCTAACACTCACATGAGGATTTTTGAACACGATTTCCTTTGCCTTTTCAATGTTTTCGTCGGTGGTAGAGGTCGAAGGTCGTCCAGAACGCGGCATGTCTTCGACGGTCGTACGACAGTCCTGAAAGGCTTTGTACCACTCATAAACTTGAGTTTTCGATAAAACTGATTCCCCATAAGCCTTTTGTAGCATTCGCAACGATTCTGCACACGAAATTTCGTTCGAAAAACAAAATTTGATGCAAACTCTTTGTTCAATATTTTTTTCCATTGTTTTTTTCGCAACGCACTACTGAGGTGAACTGGTTTCAACAGCTGCCGTAAACGAACTGTCTGACAGATCGCGCTCATTTTTGGCATAGTAATTAAGGACAGTGCTGCCAAACTACATAAACTTAAAATATCGAAAAATATACAGCGCGCGAATTTTAAATGAGAATTTCCGAAAATCTTTCGGTCACAATGTATACAGCATTTAATCAGTATATTTAGTTCAGATAAAAAACTTCCTGTAATGACCGCATACCGCCTCCAACGTTGGTCTATAGTCTTGATGGCTTACAATTTTGATGTTAAATATCGAGCTACAGGTGATCATGCCAACGCCGACGCATCCTCAAGATTGCCAATTGGGTCAGATCCAGATTTTGATCAGCAAGAATCATGCCATTGCATTACCGAAGAAAAAACACCTATCAACCCCCATTAATTTTGCCAACATGCTAAAAGAGATGAAACACTTTTGTTAAATGATGTTTTCAGTGATAAAAACATGGACGTTATGCCTTACGCAAAACGTAAGTTAGTTTTGACTATTGAAAATGAATTACTTTATTTACAGACAGACGGTAATAAAAAAATTAGCGCGTCAGTATTGTTGGTGAACACAAATTTACAGACAAATAGAAAACCTAGTATCGAGATGTAGCATTTGTAAAGCAAGGTTTAGTCGTTGGCAAAAAGCTACGCGTCAATGGGAAAGAATACAAATAGATATCGCGGGGTCCGTTTTTGGACATATGTTTTTAATATGTGTTGATGCATATTCACCATTTTTCTTTCGTAGTTCAACTAAAGAATACCACCACAACCGATACAATAATGGCATTAAAAGCTATCTTTGCAATTGAAGGTTTACCAGAAACGGTAGTTAGCGACAATGGGCTACAATTGACAGCGCTGCATTTTGTCAGTTTTGTAAGAGCAATGGCATACAATATTTAAGAACACCACCATTTCATCCAGCCTCTAATGGATTGGTGGAACTCTCTGTTCAAACACTCAAAACAACAGTACGTAAGTTGATGGCGGATAAATTATCCTTAAATGATGCAATTAACTAATTCCTGTTGACATGTCGGTTTATGCCGAATTCTGACGCCATCCAGCAGAACTTTTAGATGGAAGAGCAATACGGAGTTTGGTTTCGCAAGTATTACCACAATTAACCACTGCAACACCCAAGAAGAACAGGGCATCAGTAAAGCAATTTCGAATTGATGATTTGGTGTATGTTTCTATGTTGACATAAGGGGACATTTATTCGCGGCAATTCAATTAACTGAAACCAAGATGCGCTGTTGTATAAAACGAATTACCGCTAAATAAATTACCGATGTTAACTTCTCCAAAAGAAGTTCTTTATTATGTGATTTTCGTTTGTGTGACATTAAGTTTCGCAATGTTATACGAAAATACCATCAAAATAAATTAAGTTTAAAAAGATATAGAATTTGATTTTGTTATTGTCTGGAAATACTTGTATAATAGCATGATGCGTTTAAATTTTGTCGCAGAGTTTTCAAGGAATAGTTTCTTGTTAGGAATATGATATCGTGGCTGAATATAAATGGCAATGTTAAAAAACCTATGTTATCTAGTATTTTTTTCGCAATTGTGTTGTATTATTTAACAACTCGCTGCTCATGTATGAACAAAATAGTGTAACCATTTTTTATAACCAATTTTTCCATAAAATTCATATTTTTAGATATGTTATTGTTAGACTTTTTCTGCTTTAAAAATTGATGCCTGTGCACATAATTGTGTATAATTTTTTTTAAAAGAATAACTGTTAATTTTTTATATTAAAACTTTATTGTTGTTTCTTTGGTGAATATAAATTAGAAAACAAAAATCAATTTGAATAAAAATTAAATAAGTTATGCGAAATTTAAGAAAAATTTCTATGAATTTTTTCTGCTATGTGTATATTTTTACGCAAATTTAAAGACGACACCCCGGTAACACTTCTTATTGTAATCACTTTGAATTATTTTACAATAATGAGCAACATAGTTCAAAAAAGACGGTAAAATACCCTTACTGACACAAACAGGTGACAATAATTCGCTTAGTATTTCAATGAATAACACAGCAACACATTTATATATACAACTATCTAAGTGTTAGACTTTTTTTTGTAGCAAATTTAGTAAACAACATACAGTCATGCGGGCAAATGAATTCATAGAACTTAATAAATTCAATCGGGTGATTTCAGCTAATTTTTTCTCTTGTTTAATAATTATTGGAAATACAGCAAAACTTTGTGTGAGTGAATTGTTTATTTTTAATAGATCTATAACTTTTAGACAGACAGTTTTTATGTAAAATTAAATATGTCGGAGATATAAGCAATCGAATATTAATTTTATGGAAAAAATGGTTATTTTCCACTCTTTGTGTCTCTTGGGGCGCCAATTCCACCTATAAAATTGAACTAAAATTTTACACAGATTATTTTTTTAGTAAAATGAACCGATCTGGGGGTATCTTTTTCGAAAAAAAAATTGCCCATGTACCTTAATGGCACCCTAGTGTATATACATAACCTATACATGACCATCTATTATATTTCTGATTACGCTAAGTATTCCAAAGTACTTAGGGCTTCCTATTAAATAGTCATAAATGGCTAATATCTGTAAACGCTTTGTTCTAAGATCTTAATTATTATATTTATCAAGAAAATTCTTTGAGACTTTTTACACCATTTGAAATATTATCTCCTTATGAAATAGTACTATCTCTTATATTTCTGTTTTGTGCATAATTTTTAATGTACATCGTACTTTTAAATCTGATAATTTATTTTTAAAGTGAAAATGACTGTGGAACTAATCGAGTTGAAATTAAGGAACATAATGCCGAATTAGAGCAGGAATGTGATCCTAATACACAACAGAAAGTATATTACCAAGTAGTGATGATGATATTCCTCTTTCAGAGTTGTATTGCTCTAGAGTCCATTAAGAATACAACTGTTGCTTCAAATTTAATTTTGTGTTTTAAATTGATTTGAAAATTTTATGACCAGTTAAGTTTCTTCAAAATCTAGTACGATTTACTGTTCTCTGTTTCTCTATTTCGTCGCTACTTTTTACCAATAAATTATAATAAAAATTTTTAGAATAAATCTGGTCCAGTTATATCGCTGGTTTCAAAATATTTTTAATCTTAAAAAATTGTGCCGTTTCAATTAATTTTTAAATATTCTCAATTAATTTTAAATTTATTGTTTTGAATAAAATAATTGTAAAAATTTTACATCCATCAATTTTTATTTTACCTTCATTTTTTTTTCTCATTTCGCTTTGTAATTATTTTTGGTGGTGTTTTTCAGTTTTGCTCTGAACGCTTATACGAGTGACGTTTATTAGGGCTCTTTTTTGGTTATAACAATTTGTCACTAAAAATGACCAATAGTAAAAAAATCGTACAAGCTGTAAAAAATGTTTTAATATTATTATATTATTTTATAATAATTGTTTACAATTATTTAACTTGACTGTGTCGTTTTCTGGCGTTTTTTTTCTCTAAAATGTGTTAAAACTGTTGTAATTTGCCCGTGAAATGCGCAGTTTTTGACATATGTGACTGAGTAACACAGTTTTGACCAAGGTGATGAGGCACATACATCTGATTTTTTTAATCTAATTTTTTAATTTATATAAAAACAACAACATATTTAAATTTGACGTCACCATAATTTTCTGTATAACATGGTTCGTGTGGTAAAAATAAATTAAGGTAATTAATTAAGGTAAGGTAGGTTACAATTTTTTAGGGATTTTTTACACTGCACTTTGTTAATATATGTATTTATTATTTTTGGTTAAATGTTTTTAAATTTATTTATTAATTTATTAAATATCTTATAAAATTTTCACAATGGTAACACCTAATTTACCTAATTTTTACTACACTAGTCGACATAAGTATTTTGACAAAACCTTTTTGTGACTAGATTTGCTTAGTACCGTCAAATAACGGTGCATAAATGAAGCCGAAAATAAAGAATCTTATTTTATCTCTATGTATGCCAAATTTTATATTGTTTACTGTTATTTTCTTTGTGATGACAAGAATGCATGCAGGCAACGAATTTTGCATAGCATAAGTATTTCGATAAAATGTTTATGTAAATGATTTTCAATTTTGAGCACGTGAAAACCAAAAAACTTTTTTGTATTTATTTTTAATTGATATTAAACTTTGATAAAAAATAAATATTAAATTATAAATTAGTAGAAAACATGACTAAAA